AAAACTAGTCTTAGATCCAAAATCACATAGCAACCGAACTAGGATACTGTTTGTCCAATATTGGTAGATCACTTTAGACAATAACCGAACTAGAACTTGTAGAAGTCTTAACAAATCACCCACTCCTGATTCACTGTAGCCGAAATAAAATCACCGAACAAAGTTTGAACAAACCAGGCTAGGAACCACGATTTTCAACCGAGCTAAGCCTTTGGGGCTAAGCCAGCTTTCTTAGTTTCTAAACCAAACACAGAAAGCTGCCCCTAGTGGCTTAACCGAAGCAAAAAACCCACTGTTCAAACCGAGATAACAAATCCTTAAAGGAAAACCGATCTTGCGCACAATAGGTTCAAACCGAACTATCGAGTGTTGTGCAGAACCGAAACAGAACCAGCCCATAAAGCCGAAATAGGGCTCATTTACCTTGTTTTTAATTTGTAGCACAATCCAATGATCTGTGCTTAACCCTTTTGTTTTCTACTTTGCAGACTTAGGTTACCCAGGCACTCTTGCGTGCACTCAATCGAGCTACTGGGCACAATTTTTGCACCGATATAACTTATTTGTAAATTATACAAATGGGTAAGTATAGGTACTTGGTAGAGACCCCTGGTGGTATGGCCGAATTCCGAATGGATTATGGCATTCCAGACGATGTACACCTTACCCTAGCCAAGAAGGAAACCATTCCGTGGAATAACCAAGGCTTTGTCCCCTTTACTGTTTTATCCATTATAGAAACCGGACTAAGGTTCCCGGTCCAGCCTTTAATTTGTGAATTTCTTAGGCAAACCAGACTATGCCCAACCCAGCTATCCACCAATACATACCGGATAATAATGGGTATTGCCGAGCTAAACCACCAAGCAGTTGTGCCCCCAAAAAAAAAAAAAAAAAAAAAAAAAAAAAAAAAAAAAAAAGATTGCCAAGGTCGATTACCTGTCTATCCCATTTATTTATTTACATATATATATATATATATACATATTAAATCTTGAAATGATTTTGTTATTTTAATGGATAAATTATACCAATAGTTCTTATATTTTTGTCTTTGTATTATTTTAATCCCTACAACTTTAATTGACTCTATTTTGGCTACAAAGTTGTAATTTTGCCTCAATTTGATTCAATTAATTATAATTGTTAGATTTTTTTTTTTTAAAATGAAAAATGCACATATCACCAAGCTAGTTACATGTGGGGAGTGTTATGAGGTTCTTTAGAGCAATTCCAAGAGAGGAAAAATGGTAATATGAGACATTTTTGTTAGTGAAGTTATTTTCGTTTTCCTTCAAAGGGCTTTGCATTACAAGAGGTATTTTGTCCATTTTCATTTTAGCTCTCCATAAGTAGCTAGCATCCAATGTGAAGGGGCTGAATGTGAAATGGGTCGGGTCCAAACCTTGGGCCAGCCGAATCCACTGAAGTCCAAATCCAAGTGGGTTGGATGAGTATATGGGCAAACCAATTGAGCCCAACTCCATGATCAACAGTCCACCCAAGTCCTCAAGCACTTGGGCCCAACCCGTAGTGGAAAGGCTAGTCTAGCCGTGGTGCTAGACTGGGCCGAGCTGCAGGACTAACAGAAAATAGGCCGAGACAAGGCATAATTATGCCGAGCTGAGGCACAGCGGTATCGAGCTGAGGAAACCTCGCAAGGAAACATGGAAGTTATGAATGTGTGCATGTGCAAGTTGCCACCTCAGCTGGTCCCCTACACCTAGAATCACGGAAGTTGTTGAACCAAAAGAATGTGGTTTGTTATCAGCATGACTACAATGAGTATATGCATTCAATGACAACTACCAGGCGGTCCCCCACCTTGAGCAATGGTAAAAAGACACCTGGCAGCATCCAAGCTCCATGAACCCACCTTGAGAAGCAAGCAAGGGACACTATATATACAACATGAACTTCACATTAAAGGTAACTGAACTATTCCAAGAAAAAACACATTTAGATATAAACTCAACTCGATATACACTCCTTCTCCGATCACTGATTCCCACACTAGAGGGGTTATCCGGCCAACCCCGGCCGGGCAGCTCTAACGGTGCTTCTTGTGGCAGGAACCTCAGTCCCTGGATAGTCCAACCGAGTACAGGACCCCGATCCACTTTCATTTAGTGCGGAATCCAGTACACACAATTGGTGCGGTGAATGTGGATCACTTCATCTCTGAGCTCTGCGCTCCGGCGATGGGGATTGAGGACATTCCGCCTTCAGCACATACTCCACAGACGGAGAAAACAAAGGAAAAAGGCTTGGCACTCCCAACAGTTCTGGAAGAACAAATCAGAAACAACAACCGGACCCCTGAATCCGTCGAGCATCGATTACCCTTCGTTGGAGGTTCTTCTTATCACTTTCTTCTGGCAAAGGATTACAGGGATCGAATCATAGACTCCATGGGAATGGAGATACAGGAGCTGAAACCCCAACTTAAGAGGGTGCTCGGCAATCCGACGGAAAAGAAGACGGAAGCGGAGCCCTCTTGTTTGCGGTGAAAGAGCTCATCCAGAGAGCCATCGGTGAAGAAGTTCCCCAGGAATGAGTCCGGGCAACAAAGCCAGCCTATCCTGTTACAGAGTGAGGCAGCAAGCAGTCACACCCGTGGGTCACGCCGGAGAAGGGCCAAGAGGTAGAAGACGGTTAGTCAACAAACTAAATAACCCCCTCAAGACCTTCGTACTTGGTTGATCGGCAATAAGCAAAGCGAACAACATCGGGATCATCTAGACTGTACTGTTCACCAGAGAAAACACCGAGCGCTGGATAGGCTCGTCTCCTCACCATTCTCCCCGAAAATTGAGGTCATGAGACCTCCAAAGAAATTCACAACACCAAAGTTCACTTCATACGATGGGAAGTTAGACCCGCTAACACATATTAGCCATTACAGACAAATGATGACCCTATGGAGCTAAGATGAGGCACTGATGTGCAAAGTCTTCCCACCCAGCTTGGGAGAAACTGGACTCCGATGGTTCGATCGACTCCCCACTAGATCGATCCGTGGCTGGAAGCAACTCTCCGAAGAGTTCCTAGCCAGGTTCGTCTCCAACACTAAGATTCCGAAAGAGCCGGATACACTGTTCGGCCTTCGAAAGGAGCAGGAAGAAACACTACGCAGTTATGCTAGGAGGTACTGGGAAGAATACAATGATCTGGAGGAAAATGTGTGTAGTGAACAGATGGTCATCTTGTCTTTCAAGCATGGCCTGCGCCCGGAAAGTAGGTTGAGACAATCACTTACCAAGCGCCCAGCCACAACATTAAAAGACTTGCTTGCCAGGATTGAGCAATACGCTCGCCTCGAAGATAATCAGATCCCTATTGAGGTAGCATCAACAGAACAAACAGCTCGGTACAAGAAGAGAACAAATCGAGAAGAACACAGAGGGATCGCAGTGAATGAAGTGGATAAGTCCAAATCCCACAAAGCCATCATGACTGTGTTCAAAGAGCCAATTTATCGAATCTTAGAAAAGATCAAGAGAGAGCCCTTCTTTGTTTGGCCGCCGAAAATGTTGGGAGATCCGGCTCGGCACAATCAAAAGCTCAGATGCACTTACTATCAAGACAGAGGGCACATGACTCAGAACTGCAGAGCACTGAAACAACACTTGGAAGACTTAGTAGCAGCTGGGCACCTTCGGGATTACATTGATCAGGATAAGAAAGTGACCGAACCGGGGAACCTACCACCAGAACCAACTATTAAGCATCCACCTCGACTAATAATAAATGTGATCCACGAGACAACGACTCAGGAAGGGAGCCGTCTTAAGGGAGCCATCTATCATATTTCCCCTCTCTTCAGCAGCCCTACGAAGCAAGTCGGCGTGCTGAGTTTTCTCTTCCTCAACAACGACTCTCATTCGCTCATCTTCAACCTTTGTGGTTTCGACCTCTGCCTTCATCATCGCCTCAGCCAACTTGGCTGCAGCTGCTGTGGCCTTGCTTTTTTCCTCCTCAAGCTGGCTTTCAAGAATGTTGAGTCGTTCCATGACGTCGTAGTGATGACAGCCGATCTCGGCAATCATTCTTGCCGCCTAACAAAGATAACGAAACAAAGGCATGATTAGTCAGCATGAAAAATGAAAGGATTTATATTCCAGGATGTACTTACCAGTACAGCCGACTGTGCCGCCAATGCAATTGAAATCACATCCTGTTCGGCACGGAACGTAGCCTTGTCCGTAGGAAGGGAAAGCACCGACGCCACACTTAGGACCAGAGCTGAATCTTTGATGGCCGACCCGCTGGCAGAAACTGACGAAACCCTCATCCGTGGTTGAACGATGAAAGTGTCAGAGGAATCAGACGGTGTAAACACTCTTGGCCGTTTATCAACCGGCGCCTCCGATAACTCGGTAATGGCCTCAATAGGGTGTTTCTGTCCTCTTTGATCGGCACTTGAGATTTCAATTGGCTACTCCTGCTATTCTTCAGGATCTAAGTTGGCCACTACAATCTCATGGGCCATTTCTTCTAGAGCAACCTCTAGGGAGGGAGTTTCTTGGCTCACCTCAGCACCACCTCCCTTTCTACTTGCCGCCATTTTTTGGCATTTCTCCTCCTAGCAAACTGGGTGAGGGATTCTCCACCATTTCTTCGGCCTCGAACTCGACCCCAGGTAAATCATCTAAATCGTTTAAGATATCGTCCTCTAGAGTAGCTAAATCTACTCGGCCTAAAATAGAGGGATGGTCGATATGATCTGGACTGATACACTCAAAAGCTAATTCAAGCTCTTAGTTAAGTTCATGCTCCCGTTTACGGCCCTCTGATAACGCTTCTTCACTGACTTGTTTGCCGATGTCGGGTTCGCTAGTTTCGGAACATTCAACACATATGTCCCTCAAGCTCTTGTAGTTGGGGAATATAGGTGTTGCGAGTTATCGTTCACCTATCAGCATAGGGATATTGTCTGCAGCCAAAAAAGTCGCGTAGGTTGGGTTGTAGCTTAGCAGAATGTGCGCAGCCCCCCTTGTCCTTGAAGATTCGCATGTCCTTTGTAATTAAGGACTGCCTTCACTTGGCTAAGAACGGCTTCGTCTGTTGATGTTAGCACACTTTTTAAATCGTTACCTACACAGCACAAAAAGAACGATCAATATACAACGTTTAAGCCAGAATCCATCTAAAAAAATAAAATAAAATAAAATAAAAATAATATGACAACAATTGTAGTCGACCACCTAGCTCGTCTTTTTGCCTAGGCACTGGATCCAGGCGATCTTTTCCTTCGCTGAATTCCCAATTGCCTCAGACGGTGACCATGACATCATCAACTCTCTTACTAGAGCTGACAAGCATAGTCACCAAGTGGTGATCTACGTCATTGGCTCTGAGGAAATAACGGCCCTGCCGACCGGTTGACTTTGCCATAATGTAGTAATGCCGAATAGCTGGGATTTCTAGGTTAAGTCTCAATTGCAGGTCCAATTCTACTATACCCATAATTATTCAGTAGAAGTTCACGTTAGGCTGGGAATGGATTAATCCCCAATAGCATAGAACGATCCTAAGAAGATGATGGAAGGGGAAACGGACCCCACCCTTAGCGATTGACAGAAGAGGAAAGATAATGGTGTTCGTATCAGCCCTCTCTATATCAACTACGGTGTCTGCAACAAGTTATAGTTGGACGTCGTCTGGGATTGGAAAATGATGACAGAATGCTGTGACTCGCTCCTCAAAGAGGAGACCTTTCAAATACTTTGCCATTAACGATGGAATAAGAACAAAATGTGTACTAAATAAGACACAAGGACTGGAATGAACGTAGATGAAGAGAAGATGGAACTTACAGGTCAAAGAAGAAGATGAACAGTGGAAAGCGGAATCAAAATTGCAGAAGTCTTGAAGAAGAAAGGATGATGTGAAGAATACCAAAGGAAGGAGCGAAAAGCCTTTCAATTCAAAGCATACGGAGTGATAGTTTTCAAATCGCATTAAATGAGTGTCAGATACGAAGGGGCGGAAAGTTGTGATAATTTCACATCGCATCGGTTCTAATGAATCAGCACTAAAAGGAGCACGTCCTTCGTATTTCCAACTTTCGAGGGTTTTCTGCTCTAAACAACTGAGTAGCGTGCACTATTTCAACCAAATATGCCGATTGGAAGGATCCAATTCGAATGCTTGGGGGCCAATTGTCGGGCCCAAAAATGAATGAGCCGTAGACAAGTCGGCTTAAACTAGGCTTCGCCCTCAGGTCAAGCCGAGAACATTGAGAAGAAAGCCGACTACAAGACGACCTAGGACAGTCGTTTGAAAGCCCTAACCGAGTATGACCTACCTCAAGGGCTGAGTTGTCCAGGTAACATATACGACGTATGGGGGGCCCAGGTGTGAGAAGGGAATGTCCTGAATACGGACGTGGGCCCCCAGAGAACAATATAAAAGAAGGAGCCTCAGCTGAAGTAAATGTATGTGAAAAATAGTAAGTAACTTGTAAGAAAAGCTAACACTAAAGCAAAAGACTAACTTGCTCGTCAGAGTGCTAATTCTGGCACCCTCGATCGGAGCGTTTGCTCCTCTTTTAGGTATCATTTCAAGGATCATGAAGGTTTGTCTAAATCAGAGAGTATTTTCAAACCCCTTTCACCACAGTGATGATGCTGATGATGATTGTAACATATTTAAAAAATAATAATAATAATTGACAAATAGGTTAGATGTAGCCCCAACCAAAAAAAAAATGATAAATAGTTGTTCATTTTTGTTGTTTATCTAGTGGTGGTGATGGTGGTGGTCTTATTATTGTTATTGATGATAATGATGATGAAACAAATATATGACAAATTTTGAACAAAAAAGTGAGATTGGTTTAAATTTTAAATTTTAAATTTTTGTGTAATATTTGAGTGTTGGTGGTAGATAATTCTTACAGATAGATAAATTAGTTTGTGAATTTCAAATAAATAGGAAAAATGGGCTTCCAAATTTGAGTAATAGATAAGAAATTGTTATTTTAATAGATAACAATTTATTGTTTTAACATATAAGAAAAAATTAATAGAATTTAGGAAAAAAGAATTAAATAGATAGATAAAATTTAGGGAAACAATTGAATATATATACAATTTAGGAGAAAAATTGAATAGAGAGGGAGAAAATTTTGGACAGATAAATATCAATTTGAATAGATAGATAAAATATTTGAACAGATAGTCAACCAAAAGTTAAACAAATAAAAAAAAAAGAAAAAAAAGCCAAGGGGTAAAATTGAAAGCAAAATGTCCTTTGGAACTTTTCATCAAATTATTTCACAAAGTGTGAATTTCTCACCAACAAAAAATATTCACTAGATCTAATGCCTTATACTCTCCTTAGATTGGATCTATTACCAATTTTCTTTAATTTGAAATGAATTTTACGTCTTAAATCTCTTTCACACTTATTTTAATTTTGATATTTTATTAGTGGTTAAAAAAATATACATATCAATAATAGAGGAGTGGAGTGATTTCGAAAGTAAATTATAAATTTCAAAATTAAATTCACAATTAGTGAATGAATCAGTGTAAATTAATACAAATCGATATGATTTTAACAGATTGAATGATATTTTCTTTCAATAACGACTTAAAAATTGAATAAATCATAATCAAAATTCTGTGATGAACTCATAATTCTAGACTGAACGGTCCTGTCAATTTCATTGGAGAAAAGCTTGGTCCAATTAAAAACCTCTTTTTGAATCCCACCTCTGAATTAATTGGGATTTTGTAGAGGGCCACTCCCACACCCATGAGAGAGAGAGTTCTTTGTCTACTTGAATTTGGCAACATATCCATATTTATTTATTTTTTTTGTTAGAGGAAATAACCTATCATCGGTGACCCTAGGGTTACCACCATGGGTTTTGAAATGTTGATACGGAACTGTAGTGTGACCCTAGGGTTACCACAAGAAGTGCACTATTAATTGTCCCTTTTGAAAAACAAAATTCAAAGTCAATGTGCCAAAATCTACTTGAATCTCTCACAGTTGTTTGAGAAATAATTTTTTCAGTGATTTTTATTTTAAATATGAAATAAAAAATAATTAAAGTGTTTAAGAATATTTTTTTTAACTTTTATAAATAAATAAAAAAAGTGCAAAAAATAGGAAGAATGAAAAAAATATATTTGATTTTTTTTATTCACTTTTAAACTTTTTAAGTAAAATATTAAATTGCCAAACTAATCCAGAATTTGTCACAATTGCCGGTAGGTACCAAAGCTCATGGAATGGGGGACCTGAAATATCCACGCGATGCCCAAAAAAATAAAAGACAAATGCCTAAAACAATTTTGTTCTTCAAACAAGTTGGAGATGACTAACCCCAAAATGTTGAATTTTATTAGGTGATGACCACCTAGACCAAATGACTAAGCCCCAGATGTTGAATTTTAGCATGCTAGAGGTAACTTTGATGCAATGAGCAAAGATTGGATTGGCCTTAATTTGCCACTCAATCGTTCCTAACATCTTGCTTTTGTTCACAACAATTAGTAATATTACAAATTTAAAATTAACTATTTAAAAATTATTCAAAATTATCATTTAATTATTTAAGTTTATTTCATACATAAATCTCATACTATATAAATTCAATCTCAACTATACAATCACCCTGCTACATAATTTCGGGGCCATAAATTTAGGTCCCCATCCTTACTCTTTCAACAATTGGCACCACCATGCCCCATGCTTGCCTAAAGTCAACTTTCTATATTTGGGGAATAGCAAAAATAAAACTTAGATAAAATTATGAAAATTCTATAATATGTCCTGTTGTGATATTTGTAGTATTTAATTATAATTTGTTATAATATTAGTTATGACTCATTATAATATTGATTATGACCTATTGTAGTTATTATTTTGGTTATAATCTAAAAAAAGTTTAGTTATGTTTATGTAGTATTTAGTTATGATTCATTATTATTTTATTTTATTTTTTAAGTTATGGCTCAAATGAATTTAATTATGACATTTGTGGTAATCAATACCACAAATGTCATGATTTACATATGGTAGAATCACCCTAAAATTATAGGTGATGAGGGTTGTTTAATAACCTGATTCAACA